TACTTTTTCCTTCCATACTAATCTTGGAAACAGTTATATCAACACTTTTGTCTATTTGGAAATTGAGTCTCAGAGAGATGACATGACTTTCCATGGCAAAATCTAAGATCAGTTGAGATCAGGAGCTACATTTAGTAGAAACTCAATGCCCCCCAAATTTTAGGAGATCTGTCAGCCAAAGTAAGAGGTGAAACCAGTTGTACCTTCTGCTGTAGGGATTGTAGTCTTCATAATTTCCAAAGTATATTCACATGTATTTTTAATTGATCATTCTCACCACCACTACCACCAATCCCCTGACAAACAAATAGTAAGAATTATCATCCCTGCTTTGTAGAACAGAAAGCTAAGGATAAAACAGTACTAGTGATTAGCTAAAAGTATCATAGCTAGCATGTAATGGACCAAATGCGGATATCCACATTTCCCACTGCCACTATTACGATAGGTCTGCGTAATACTGCCTAGATACCGCTCTGCATAACAGTGAATCTGGGCCCTCAAAGAACCACAGCAAGCAGTGAAGATCCACGACAGGCCTTCAGAACTCTGCAGTATATTTGATTTTCATATTCTCAATCATAGCCCAACCTTAATCAAGATTCATTGAGTTCTTAGTCAACCCATCGAGATATTAACCAAGAGCATTTTCTTGTGGCTTCCATTATTCTTAATTGTTAAAGTGTTTCATTTCTTTCATAACAGGGGGATTGTGGGAGCTGTATCAATACTCCTCGCTGCCCGAAGGAGAGCAAATCAAGGGTAATTATGAATTCAGTAACACTGTTTGGACAGTAATAAATTTGTTTCATTAGCAGATCCCAGTCTTCTGGTCTAGGTGTGTGTGTATTTATAAAACCTTAATTGATGTAATAATTTTTATGTAACCATAATTTATGTCATTTTTCTCAACGATCAAGCCAATGAACATTCTCAACCCAGGCAACCTACCAACCCAATACCTATCTTCCAGGAACTATCTAGAAAAGTCATAAGGTTATAAACTTAGAAGGGACTTAAAAGACAGCTATCATTAAAAAAAAAAATTGGCTATATTTTGTTGACTGCTATTCAAGCCCGAGTCTCTATGCTAAGCCTTTATAGACATCAGTCTTGTTCTTCATTATAATACTCAAGGGAAGTTATCATTGGTTCCATCTTACTTATGAGAAAATGAGGCTCAGAGAGGTTAAGCAATTCCCATAAACCACACAGCTAGTCAAGAGGAAAGCTAGATTAAAGCCCTGAACGCGGTAAGCCCTTGACATTGGAGTCAACATAGTCTATCAGTTTCTGCCTTTGTAAAATGAAGATAATGACAATTCTGCATGAGGTTATCAGGAAAAGTACCTTTTAAATGTGGATTCAGAGTCTGTACATAGCCAGTGTTTCTTTCTTACACATTAGCTAAAGCCAAGCTCTTCCCAAGTAAAATCTCTAAGAAACACACCTCCACAAAGCAAAACGCATACCCTCCTGACACGTTACCTTTCATGATAGGAGGCATCCTGAGTGGGGCAAATGATGAATTTATTTAGCTACTAACCCAGAGCTACCTCGGAAGAAAAGCCTGGCAACCTGCTTCCAAAAAAACCAGCCATAGAAAACCCTCTGGAGGAAAGTTCTCCTCTGACATAACATGGGTCACCAAGAGTCAGAATTAACTCCACGGCAACTGGTACTACGGGTACCCATGTTGGGAAGCCGTGGCACCCAGGCATCCACACAATTTGTAATCTGCTGTAAGGGTCAGCGAGCCCTTTCTCCTAAAACAGGAAAGAAATCTTCTGGTGGCATCTAGCTCTGGCACTTCCCTCTTCCCCTATAACTGTGCTTTCACCTTTTCCTCTTGCCTCCCCTGTGAAGATAATTAATTGCCTTCTAGAATGAGTCTTCAAAGTCTTATTTTCAATGTGAGCAGTATCCATGATCCTACACTAGGTGGCAGACTAGAGACTAGGAGCCTGTGTGTTGGGTGGAATACTGAGGGATGGCTCACTCTGTGTCTTTTAGGGTGTGAAGCAAAAGTGTCTCTACAACCTGCCCTTCAAGAAGAACCTGGAAGGCTGCCAGCAGCAGTGCGTCATGGTGGTGCAACTCCCCCGGTGCTGCAAGGGGTACTTCGGGCGCGACTGCCAAGGTGAGGACTCCTCTACCCACCTTGTGATTCTGAAAGGATTGTACACTCACTGCGTTGTCTTTGAAAGGACGCACAAGTATACAAAGGTGGGGGAAACGTCCCTTAACGATGTCCCCAACCTAAAAGCAACTTTCTGAAGAATTTTCTACCTTTTTTTTCTTCTGTGATTTTTTTCTTTTCTTTTCTTTTTTTTTTTTGGGGGGGGGTAAGGCACATTTTGCTTTTTACTATAGAATTTTTTGGTTTTCTTTTTTTAGTTTTTATTGTGAATTGAATAGAAGTTTATGTTTATGATCCTCCTTTCCCAAACCTTCTGATGAGTTAAAAGTCCTGGTGTGGTGCTATAGGATAAGCATAGGACTGCTAACCAAAAGGTTGGTGGTTCAAACCCACTAGCTGCTCCTCAGAAACCATATACAGCAGGAGGGGGGAACCTTTTTTCTGCCAAAATTTATAGTATCATTCATGGGCCATACAAAATTATCAACTTAAAAATTAGTTTGCCATATATGGTCAAACATTTAATTGTTCTTAAGTGCCGTCGAGTCAGTTCTAATCCATAATGACCCTGTATAGGGTTTCCGAAAAGCAGCTGGTGAGCTTGAACCACTGATCTTGCAGTTCAAATAGCTTTGTAGTCTGGTGGATTAACCCACGGCACCACACCAGGACTCCATTAACTCATCCTTAATGTGATGGCTGTAGTCTTGGTGTGACACTTATAGGATAAACACTGGACCACAAGGTCAGTTTGACTGTAAGGTCATGGTTCAAAATCACCAGCCACTCCTCGAAAACCCTGTACAGGGTCGCTACGGGTCTGAAACAGTTCGACAGCACTTAACAACAACAGTGTAATGGTTGGAATTGCAGTTGCCTTGGCAGCCCTTATACGACCTTATACTACCCGTGGGCCGGACGTTCCCCAGCCCTGAGATCCAGGGGTGGAACCAACTTGATGGTACTTAACTATAACAAATTAAATTGTATGTCTGACTCTTTTGCTTAACCTTATAGTGTATATGTTCCCATGGTGCTAAAAATACCAAATGTTTCATTTTGGATGCTATGTAAAGTCCATGATATAGTAAGAACCTGCACTTAGTTCTATTGTGTTGCCATGAATAATGAATTATTCATGAATACCAAGCCCTATATAGGGTATTCATGAATTCATCACTCATGGCAACACTATAGAACTTATCTGCCATGAATAACAAGAATCCACAAATATCAATCATTTCATTTCACAACAACCTCTAGGACGTAGGTTCTATGGTTATCCCATTTAACAGATGAGGAAACCGAGGTAGAAAGGATAAGACACAAGGACCCACCGTCTATGTCCAGAAGTCATGCTGGTCATGACCCTCCCCTCCGTACTCCATCCATCCTGCTTTAGACGAGAAAATTCCGTGCTGAGAGTCTCTACCTGCCATCATTAACGTGGACACCATTCACAAATTAGCACCATCTCTTGGATTTGTTTAGCACTTTATATTTTCAAAATGCTCGCAGTTATATGACCTTATTTGATCCTCACAAGAACACTGCGGTTTAGGTCAAACAGGCATCAACAGCATCAGCAGCACCATTGTTACTTCTTGTCATTTGCTGCCATCAAGTCAGTTAACTCCTGGGGAACCCATCCATAATGGAACAAAGCAATGTCTAGTCGTATGTCATCCCATGAATGGTGCGGATCAGACCATTGTGGTCCATAGGGTTTTGTTGGCTGATTTTCAGAAGCAGTTTGCTAGGCCTTCCTGTCTAGTTCATGTTAGTCTGGAAGCTCTGCTGACACCTATTCAGCATCATAGCAACACACAAGCCTCCAGTCACAGACAGGTGGTGATTGTACATGAGGTGCACTGGACAGGGATCGAACCCTAATCTCTTGCGTCTTGTTTTAAGTGCTGTTGAGACGGTTCCCACCCATAGCAACCTTGTATAGGGTTTCTGAGGAGCAGCTGGTGAGCTTGAACTGACGACCTTGCGGTTCAAACCGACTTTGCAACCCAACGCATTCACCCACAGCACCACGCCAGGACTCAAGAATTCTACCACTGAACAACCATTGCCCTCATGCTATTATTTAGTCCAAAAGTCATCACTCAGCCAAATCTACTCAAATCCAGGTCTCCTGACCCTCGAGTGTGTGGGTCAATGTATTCTCATGGCACGGGAGAATCATATCAGAGTCATTTAACCTCATGTTCCACAAGCCAGTGGCTTGCCCTAAATATCTAGTAACACCCAGGACCATGGTCCCTTGGGGCTAATGGATGTCAGATTCTGCAGCACCATTTCCAAAGGTGCCAAGCTGTTTCCAAAGGTGTAGGAAGCCACTGTTGAGTCATTGTGATTTCATCTCTTCCAGCCTGCCCCGGAGGACCAGATACCCCATGCAATAACCGAGGTGTCTGCAGGGATGAGTACTGGGCCACAGGAGAATGTAAATGCAACACCGGCTTCAATGGGACGGCGTGTGAGCTGTGCTGGCCAGGGAGATTCGGGCCAGACTGTCAACGTATGTGCTGCCTCCTCCTTCCCTGTGCTCTAGCCTGGGCTTAGCTGTGTGCTCCCTGTCCTCATCTTCCCGGCCACCCATCTCTCATCTGCTTGCCCTTTGCGTGTCTTTCCTCCTTGGGTATGCCAGATTTCCATCCACTGGAAGAGACTCACCTCTGGAAGAGACTTACTTCTCCTGCAGCCATCATGGTGGACTATTGCTGAACAACATTCATTCATTCATTCATGCACTCAACCAACAGATATTTTTTGAATCTTTACCATAGTACAGAGCCCTGGTGGCACAGTGGGTTATACATTGGGCTACTAACCACAAGGTTGGCAGTTCAAACCCACCAGCCACTCAGCAGGAGAATGATGAGGCTTTCTGCTCCCATAAAGAGTCACAGTTCCAGAAACCCTAAGGAGCAGCTAGCTCCACTCTCCTATAGGGACTCAGTGGCAGTGAACAGGTATTACTACTACTATTGTTGTTTTTATTGTTAAGTGCTGTTGAGTTGGTTCCAACTCATAGTGACCCTGTGTAGGTTTTCCAAGGAGCAGCTGGTGGGTTTGAACTGCCGACCTTGTGGTTTGCAGTCCAGTGCTTATCCTATAGTGACCCACCAGGAGTCCAATGTTGTTGTTGTTGTTGTTATGTGCCGCTGAGTCAGTTTGGACTCATAGCTACCCTGTATAGGGTTTCTGAGGAGCAGTTGGTGATCTTGAACCAGTGACCTTGCAGTCCAGTACATTAACCCAGTGTCACACCCGCATTCCTAGGAGCCCAATGGTAGTGGCAGTGGTGTGCCGTGGAGTCAGTTCCGATTCATAGCAATCCTCTATGGGGTTTCTGAGGCTGTAAATCTTCATGGGAGCAGGAAGTCTCATCTTTCTACTGTGGAACGGCTGGTAGTTTCAAACTGCTGACGTGTAATTTAGCAGCCTGACTCATAACCACTACACTACCAGAGCGCCTTAGGAGTTCAGTATCTAGCATTTATTCATTTATCTGATAAATAATATCTATCATTATTTATTTGATGATTGACTGAATAAGTAAGTACGTATTATGTACCCCTCATATAGGTTTTGCTCACTTCATCATAACAACCCTTTGAGGCAGGCACTATTATTATTATCCCCACTTAACAGATGTGGAAGCTGAGGCATAAAGTGGTTAAGTGTCTTTTTAAAGGTCTGGTATTGTCCTAAAATTAGGAGCTCTGGTAGCGTAGTGGTTACGAATCGGGCTGTGAACCTTAAGGTCAACAGTTCGAAACTACCAGCTGTTCCGCAGAAGAAAGATGAGGCTTTCTGATCCTGTAAAGATTTACAGCCTCAGAAACCCTGTACAGGGTCACTATGAGTTGGAACTGACTCCACAGCACATAACAACAACATTGTCCTAAATTACAGAGATGGGTGGTGGAAAGAAAGAAAGAAAAAATTCCAGCTCTCAAGGAACTTACATTCAAAGGAAGGAGCTGGATAAAAATGATAGAAAGAAACACAGTTGTTGCAGCTATAAAGAAAAAGAATGCAAGCAAAGGGGATCGAGAATAAAATGAGGTGTCCTGTTAAAGATGTCTCAGACCTCACAAAGATGAGGGAGCCCGGTGGAGAATACTGAGCAAAACACTGTCCAGTTGAACTCTCCCCAATGCTAGAAATGTACTCCAATTCCACTGTCCAGGATAGTAACTAGCCATATGTGGCCAGTGAGCTCTGGAGATCTTGTTCATTGTAACTAGTTTAAATTGAAATAGCCACATGTGGTCAGTGGCTACTGTACTTGACAGTGGAGACTACAGGAATGGTTTTCCCTAGCAGGGAGAGGAACAAGTATAAAGGCTCTGAGTCTGGAGTGGACCTAGTGGGTAAGGAACTGCTAGGAGGCCAACGAGACTGAGCAGAGTGGGCAAGGGAGAGGAAGAGAGGAAGGAAATGAGATCTAAAGGTGTCCCGGGGCCAGATCACAAAGGAGCCTCTTGGTCAGAGAAGAGTCTTCAGAATCTGTTCTCAGTGTGACGAGTGACCAAAGGAGAATCACAAGCTGGGGGAGGGCCTGGGCAGATTGTAGAAGATCGCTCCAGCTCTCTGGGGAGACTCCACGTAGGAGGCAAGAGCAGAGTCAGGACGGCCTTTGAGGAAGCTCGAGTAGCAATTCAGGTGAAAGCTGATGAAGTCATGGGAATGCTGGAGCAGCAAGAAGGGGTGGAATCCATCGGTACTTATTCTGAAGAGTTTACTCTTCTCCACCGATTGGAGAACCAGCCCATGATTAGTTGTGGATTGGACCACTGTGTTCCAGAGGACTGTGGTTTTCATTGGCTGGACCTTTCTTCCTGGTCTATCTTTGCCTTGAAGTTCTGCTGAAACCCATTCAGTATTCTAGCAATACCCAAGCTTCCATTGGCAGATGGGGGCTGGTTATGCAAGAGGTCCACTGGCTGGAAATCAAACCTGGCTGTCCCGCTGAACCACCACTGTCCCCTCTCCCCCATGACATGCTCTCCTTCTGCACTTAATGGCATTCATTGTATTGATCACTACAAGATCAACAGCTGACTCCATCCTAGATGATAAGCTTCAAACTCTGTAAGATGAGTTGTTGTTGTTGTTATGTGCCGTGGAGTTGGTTCCAACTCATAGCGACCTACACAGGGTTTCTGAGGCTGTAAGTCTTTACAAGAGCAGAATGCCTCATCTTTCTCCCACGGAGCAGCTGGTAGTTTCGAACTGCTGAACTTGTGGTTCACAGCCCAATTTGTAACCACTACGCTACCAGAGCTCCTTCTGTGAGATGAGGGATCTTATCTATTTGGCTTTTCACTGTCAGTCCCATGCCTGTGAGTGTATGACTCATGATAAGCACTGAATACGACTGTTTTTTTGGTTTGGGTTTTTCATGTTTGAATGAATGACTATGCAATAAGCACTGAACATTCACAGTGAGCAGGCTGACTTGATTTCAATTCCTGATCGCTAATCACTGGTCATACTTTACATTCCAGCCTGTGGCTGCTCAGACCATGGACAGTGTGATGATGGAATCCTGGGCTCCGGGCAGTGCCTCTGTGAAGCAGGGTGGACGGGACGCTTCTGTGACAGTCAGACAGGTCAGTCATTGGGCATGGTCAGCTGTTGGACCACACCAAGAACATCCAATGGAGGCTCCGGGCCTGAGTAACATCTAAGAAAACAACAAAGCAAGTGTTCCTGTCTCCAGGGGGACACGATGATTTGCGTATGTGGTCCTGGGCTTCAGGAGGTTTGGTGACTTTCAGGAAAACTAGATGAAAAGACTTATTGAACCCATGAAATCAGCATGTTGGCATGTGCAATGGTGGAATGACCAAATCAGGCAAAGCATGCCAGCACAGGCAGGGTGACCCCTCTGTACAAGGTTCTAAGAGGAAACAGTCTTTGGAGTCCCCAAGACCAGCATCTGAACCCTGATACTACTAGGAAATTGGCCTTAGTGCAGGGGTGGGGACCCTTTTTCCTGCCACAGGTCAATTGGATATTTATAACTTAATACATTTCTGTTGCTATGAACAAACTTCTAGGTTTATAGAATTTTGAGTCCCACCTGCAGTTGCCTTGTCAGGGCCAAACCAAACTATTTTTTTGTCCTAACAATACGGTTACTTCCATTCTTCCTGCCACTTCCTCGTTGCCTCTCCCCGAGACACCCCATGGCCTTGCTAACACTCATCTTAACACTGCACTCCACCCAATCACCAATGCTCCACATGGCCATTCTTGGTGTTTCCCCAAGAAGGTCATAGGCCAGATGTTCCCCACCGCTACTTTAGGTCATCCACACTCTCTGAGCCTCGCTTGGCTCATCAGTAAAAAGAAAATCCTTGCAGGAGGCAGGACTGTTAAGAGGCTCAGAGATTATGTTCTGGAATGGCCTAGTGACCCAGCCATTATCACTGTTGCAATCACCATTGTCATAATCTTCATCATCACCACCATCACGATTGGCCATCCAGTCAGTTTCAACTCATGGCCACCCATGTGTGTCAGTGTAGAACTGTGCACTCCATAGGGTTTTCAGTGACTGGTTTACCAGTAGATCAGCAGGCCTTTCTTCCAAAGTGCCTCTGAGTGGACTCAAGCCTTCAGCTCTTTGATTAGCAGCTAAGCTTGCTAGCCATTTACACCATCCAGGGACTCATCATTACTCATCTTGCAGCACCTACACAAAGCCCTGTTGTTCTGATGTACATCTGAGATTGAGAGTTGAGTTAACCAACAGTGAATCGTTAGCATTTCATTCTCCCTGGGATCACAAAGGCACAACTAGACTCCTCTTAAGGACTTTTATAACAATCAGAAGTTTCAAGAGTCCCAACAATATGGTTAGCTTCCATTCCTCCTCTTTTCCTCCCCTCAAGACACCCCATGGCCTTGCTAACACTCACCATAACCTGCAGTCTATCCAATTACCAAAACTCCACTTGGCTATTCTTGGTGTTTCCCCGAGAAGAAGGTCATGGATTTTCCCCTCCAAGTTAACGATCTCCCCCTGGACCCTGTTCCCTTATGCCTGAGATCTAATCTGCCCAATGATTCCCTGCTAGTGAACTATATGTTAAGTGAATTAGGGTGTACAGTTTGCACTGGTTGTCCCCGGAGGTAACATATTTACATTTTGATCTGGATAATGTTATCAAGATAATGATTCATATAAAGGAATAATTCTAGAATCTCAGTATCTCTAGGTTGGAAGACCTTGGCAAAACTCCCATCTTCCAGCTGAGATGGGGATGGGGGAACTTTAGAAACAGAATGGCACATCAGTGAGATTTAGGAAAAACCTGCAAATGGGTCCCAACTCTTGACAGCACAAGTGCAGGCTGAATCGGGGCTGTTGTCTTGCAGAAGTGCCTCCTGCGTGTACACCTCCTTGTTCTGCTCACGCCACGTGTAAGGAGAACAACTTGTGTGAGTGTAACCTGAATTACGAAGGTGACGGAATAACGTGCACAGGTGGGTCTTCTTTGTGTGTGTGAATGGTGGAAAGACTGGCTCAGGCAGCGTGGCACCGGACAGGAGCAGGACTTGGTCAAAATCCCTTCTACTTCCTGCCCAGGTCACTTCAGGAATAGTTCGGAGACTCCATTTCCTTATTTGAAAATGGGTTTGCTCATGCCTGATATCACACCCCATGGGTGTAAAATTACTTTGTTAACTATGATGTCCTTTATTGTATAGTTGTTTTTTCTCTGCTTACCTCTACAAGTACTCAGTCTTACTTTAGAAAATACATTAAAATATTAAAAGAGAAAATAGTACATCTAGTTTCATCACTTGGTGGAAACCACTGTAATCAATGCAATGCCTATGTGTAGTAGTTTAGATATAGGTTTAACTCCATGGAGAAGATGGTGTAAGCAAAGCAGGTGTTGAGTTCTAGCTCTCATTATGGTTTAGAGGGAAGCATCTAGAACCAATGCAGAGATTCTCCTCAAAAAGTTTCAAAGGTCCCAAATTCCTTCCACTTTTTGGTCTGCCATCCACTCACTTTGAAGGTCCAAGATGGTGCGAGTCCTACTTAATATCAGTACTTCCCAAACAACAGGATGCAGGAGGAGAGGGAGGAGATAAACCTCCTTCACTCTAAAGAATTGACCTAGAAGTTTAAAAAAAAAAATCACTTTGGCTCTCATCTCATTGGTTAGACTCTCATCACCTGTCACATCTAGCTGCATGGAAGCCTGGGAAATGTAGTTTTACCTGGCAACCATGGGTGCTGCTGGAAAATCGATTCAATAGAAAATTGACGGAATGTGTATTAGAAGAAATGGTCTTGGCTACATGTCTTTCCTAACTTTTTTCCATGAAAAATACTCTATCTTAGTTTTGGTTCTCTCAAGGAGCAAAACCAGTGAAATGTGTATAAATACATGTTATTGTTAAGTGCTGTCAAATCATTCCCAACTCATAGCAACCCTGTATAGGGTTTCCGAGGAGTAACTGATGGATCTGAACAGTGTGGTTAGCAGTCCAGTGCTTATCCTAGAGCACCCTATGAGGAGTCTACATAAAAACATAAAGAGAGGAAATTTACTTCAAGAAAATGGCTCATGCAGTTGTGAGGAATGACAAGTCCCAAATTCGTGGGTCAAGTGACAGGCTGAACACCCTGTGGTTGTAGGCACTGACCAACCCAAAATCTGTAGATCAGGTGAAAGACTGGCAGCCTCTACTGGCTCATGGGATTTCATAAATCGGCAAATCAAAAGTCTGCAGGTCAAGCAGCAAGCCAGAGATTTCTGTAGGCTTATATGCTAAGAACCAGAGGTCAGACGATGAGAAGATCGCAGGGCTGAGAAAAGAGAGTGAGTTTTGCTAGAATATCCATCTAAGTACCGAATGTGACCACACCCCCAAGGAAATGCCCCTTTTGACTGACTGGCTGCTCACAGCTGATCACAAACGGGAAGAGAATTACATTATGGAAGGGCTCATGTCAATTCATTGAGAATCTTAGCCAAATTGACATATAACATTAACCATCACATGGCACTGGGCTTTGAACCACAAGGTCAGCAGTTCAAACCCACCAACTGCTCCTCAGAAACCCCATACAAGGACGCTATGAATTGGAATCAATTTCACAGCACTTAACAACAACAACAACAATATGCCAAGAACCAGAGGTCAGACGATGAGAAGAGCGCAGGGCTGAGAAAAGAGAGTGAGTTTTGCTAGAATATCCATCTAAGTACCGAATGTGACCACGCCCCCAAGGAAACGCCCCTTTTGACTGACTGGCTGCTCACAGCTGATCACAAACGGTAAGAGAATTACATTATGGAAGGGCACATGTCAATTCATTGAGGATCTTAGCCAAATTGACATATAACATTAACCATCACATGCTCGTATAGAGATACTTACTTCCTTTACAAATGAGGTTTACAGACCAGCTGTGTGCAAGCTGCTAAAAGGCAGTCCAGAAGCAATGCCAGCAAACGCCCTGTTTCTATCTCTCCTCTGCCACCCTTAGAGAGAAGCCTCCTGTTCCCACGTTCATTTGCTCAGTCTCAAGTGGCTTCCATGACAGGCAAAGAAGCAAGCATGTAGCTTTCTAGCTACTCCTGGGGCTAGGACTAATCATGATTGGGTGGAAATTTGAGAGATTATGGAAATGAAGATCACAGAGGTAACACACCACCAGAGGGAAGGCATAGACTTTGGAGCCTAGCCTATCCCAGCCCCTCACAGACCACCTGCTTCACCTCCATCAGCTCAGTTCATCTCTCCCAGCCTCCATTTGTTCCACTGTAAAATGGGGGTGACGATGTCTCTCTCACAAGGTACTCAGTTAATGTTACACTAACACACAGAATCCTGGTGGGGCACTGCAGGTTTATGTGCTGGACTGCACGGTCAATTTAAACCCCAAGATTGTCGGTTTGAACCCCAAGATTGGCTGTTCAAACATACCAGCCACTCCTTGGAAACCCTATACAGGGTCACTATGAGTCAGAACCAACTCAACAGCTCTTAACAACGACAGCAGCATACACATACACAATACCCAAACATTAAAAAAAAAAAAAACTGAACTCCTTTTGCAAACTACTTCCAAAGGAGAGCCCAGTAGGTCTGTGACAAAGAGCAGCAGAGGTGGACAGACGTCATCAGACCTGGTCTCTGAGGGTACCACAAAGGGATCAAAGTTTGAAAGGCTAGCATAGGGCAGCAATGTGCAGGGAGAGGACAGGCTAGCATAGGGCAGCAATGTGCCTACAGGTCTACTGTCTCAGTGCCATCAGAGGTTACTGTCACCTCTGGGCACACAGTGACACTGCCACGGGTACCACCAAAATGACTGTCTATACAATTTCTGTGCAGTTTCAGCAGATACTCGCTATAAAAATACCCCTATGGTTATAACAACAAAACATTTTTCATAAGCCCGGTTTACATGTATCAATGTACCTCTGAGGACTCCTGGTGTGGCACTGTAGGATCGGCACTGGGCTTTGAACCACAAGGTCAGCAGTTCAAACCCACCAACTGCTCCTCAGAAACCCCATACAAGGATGCTATGGGTCAGAACAGACTGGAGGCACTAACCAACAACAACAAAGCTTAAATGCTATGTGAATTTACAATCTGAACTTTTGAATGGCCTTGCGTCAGAGCTGTCATTATTACTAATTGCAATGATGCTGCAAACCACATGGTTTTGTCTGCACATACGACAAACAGGAGCTATTTTCATTGCTGCCTGTGTTTTCAGAACCGGTGGATTTGTTCAGTCTTCTGGTGGTTTTGCTACAATATTGTGGCAATTAGTATTTTGAACCTATATCAGTAACTTTGAGAATGAAGTAATAATTAAAGGAAAAGAAGGAGAAAAAAATGTTAAAGGTTTCTGTTCAGTTAATGTTATAATAATGTAATTCAAGGGAAAGATTTTGTAAAATAATTTTGGTGTCGATACTCAAATGATCTATGAAATAACATTGTGTTTAAGTAATTTACAACTATATCACATTATTCCATGATTGAAACTGATTATTAAGTGTTACTAAGAATTCTATATAATTTGGTATGGGAGGAAGTCCTTGGAGTTGGGGTGGGGTGACACCAACCCCAGTACCTGGGTGCTTAGGTAACCCCTATCCCAATAGGAAACTCGGGTTAAGCAGACGGGGGTAAACCGAGCCCTCTCGCCCCTTGCTCTTGTAGTTGTGGATTTCTGCAAACAGAACAACGGGGGCTGTGCGAAGGTTGCCACGTGCTCTCAGCAGAACACCACGGTCTCCTGCAGCTGCCCGAAGGACTACCAAGGGGACGGCCGCAGCTGCACGCCCGTAGACCCCTGTGCCGATGGTCTCGATGGCGGCTGCCATGAGCATGCCACCTGCAAGATGACTGGTCCGGTGAGTTGCTCTTTCTCAGGGGATGCGGGGAGCTGCCCTCAGCCTTGCTTCTCCACCTGTATCGGGTCCTGCTCACCATTCCGCCGCCTCCTGGGCTTTCTTCGTATCTCAGTCTATTTCTTGTTAAAAATTGGGAAGCCAAACACAAAGTGCTATCCTGGACAGAAAAGAACATTAGTGAAAAAACTGGTCAAGTGCAAATGAAATCCACTGTTTAGTCACTAATAGTGGGCCAGTGTTCATTTTGTTATTGGTGTTGTTGTCAAGTGTCACTGAGTCAGTTCCAACTCATAGCAACCCTGTGCAGGGTTTCCAAGGAGTGGCTAGTGGATTTGAGCCGCTGACCTTGTGGTTAGCAGTCCAGTGCTTATCCTACAGCATCACACAGAATTAGCTAAGTATTAATTCTTAGTTTTGACAAATGTACTAAGGTCATGTAAGAGGAAACTGGGTGAACTCTCTGCTACCTTTGTAAAAAAAAAAAAAAAAAATTTGCATCTCAATCATTCCAAATGAAAAAGTTGATTAAAATGAAAAGTTGGTGGAAGTGGCATGACCAGTGTCAGTTTGGGCAATCACTGTTCAGTCTATCAGGTGGAAGAGAGAAGACTGTGGAAGACAATGCGCATTGTGGGTTGCATACGTGAACCTGAAGTCAGACAGACTTTAATCCTTAGCTGCTCGGCTTAAAAGTTATGTGGGCCTGGGCTACTTACTATATCTCTCTGAGCCTAAGTTTCTTCATCTGTAAAGTGGCGTATGGAGTCCTGGTATGGCACTGTGGGATAATGTGCTGGGACGGCAAGGATGGTTTGAACTGCAAGGTTGGCGGTTCAAACTCACAAGCCACGCCTCAAAAAACCCTATATAGGGTTGCTATGAGTCAGAACTGACTTGACAATACTTAACAACAATAAAATGCCTTATATAATAATGAAGACCTCTGAGGTTATTGTGACAAGAAAATTAGATCATTTATTGAGTCAACAAATGGTTTTGGAAAGCAAACTGTGAGCTGTTGTATTGTGGCATGAGTCCCGGATACAGTGATCAAAACAAAACAAGACACAGTCCCTCGTTTTCTGGAGACTTGGTGGCTCAGTAGTGTTAAAGCACTTGTCTGTTAACCAAAAGTCAGCAGTTCAAACCCACCAAGCAACAGCTCTGTGGGAAAAAGACATGACTATCTACTTCCATAGATAAGAGCCTTGGAAACCCTGTGGGGCAGTTCTACAATGTCCTTTAGGGTCACTAGGAGTCAAAACTGACTTAACTCAGACAAGTAGAGGGAGGAGGACAATGTTCAGTACAGAAACAAATGCACAGGAAGACACACAGTGCGGAAGAGCCATGACCTACATAAATCAGGTCAGTGTGATGGAGGACCTGGAGCCCCACTTTAGGGTAGAAGAGAAGGGCTCTCTGAGGAGGTGCTAGGTGAGGTGAGAGGCAAAGCATGCCAACATTGCATCAGGAGCCTATGGGGAGACATGCTCTGCTGGATGGTGGTCCCCAGGGCACTCGGGAGTCCTGAGGTCCTACAAAAGGGTCTTCTTTCATCCTTTCTCACTCTCTCCCCACAGGGCAAGCACAAGTGTAAATGTAAAAGTCACTACGTGGGAGACGGGCTGAACTGTGAGCCGGAGCAGCTGCCCATTGACCGCTGCTTACAGGACAATGGACAATGCCACGCAGATGCCAACTGTGCCGACCTTCACTTCCAGGGTCAGTGTGGCTAGATGGTTGGTCTTCAGGCCAGTGGGAGGGACCAGCACAGGAGAAAGGAAAAGACAGGGACCAAACAGCAGTACTGCTGAGGACCCTGGCAGGAGGGCAGGGCAAACAGGACAAGAGGGAACGCAAATGTTTACTATCCTCAATCTTCCTCTTGCCTGGCTTTCCCAAGTTGCTTGGTAACTCTTTATAACCATTGACTAGAATTAAATCAAAGCCGCATAGCTGAAGGTATAAATACCAAAGGGGAAGCATCTGCCAATACAGAAGTAATTTCTTAGCATATGTTCCAGTTACTTCCAAGAATGATTTGAATAGATTTATTATACCAGCAGGTATAATAAAACTAAGAATCATAACACACAATTATATTTAATTAAAATTCAAGTTTTAATTTAATTAAGTAAGTATACTGAATGTTAATTTAATGAAGTGTTGTTGAGTTAGTTTGACTCATAGCAACTCTGTAGGGAGTTTCCAAGGAACAGCTGGTGAGTTTGAACCACGAACCTTGTTGTTCAAACTGACCTTGAGATCCATTGGTTATCCTACAGTGCCACACCAGGACTCTAAAAAATCCAAGTGGTGGTGGCTGGTGGCTATGTGCCGTGGAGTCGGTTCCCACTCATAGCGACCCTGTACAGGGTTTCCGAGGCTGTAAATCTTTACAGGAGCAGAAAGCCTCATCTTTCTCCCATGGAACAGCTGGTAGTTTCGAACTGCTGACCTTGAGGTTTGCAGCCCAATTCGTAACCACTATGCTACCAGAGCTAAAAACCATTGCTGTCAGGTCAGTTCTGACTCATAGAGATGTTAAAGGACACAGCAAAACTGCTCCGTTGGGCTGCCAAGGATGTAATCTTTATAGAAGCAGTCGGGCACATCTTTCTCCCATGGAACAGCTGGTGGGTTCAAACCAAGTGCTTAAGCTCTGCACTACCAGAGTTCCTTAGTGAGCAGGCAACACGACTAATTGAAACCTGCTAGAGAAAAATCAGAAAGGGCTCAAAATAACTTTGAACCAGAACAAGGAAGATCTTGAGGGGTTCAGAAAATGAGCAGTTACTGGTTCTCTCTAATTGGGGCTAGTTAAGAGTCAGGCTTATCACAACCTGTGACATGCAGATGATACAACCTTGCTTGCTGAAATTGAAGAGGACTTAAAATATTTACTGATGAAGATCAAAGAGCACAATCTTCAGTATGGATTGCATCTCA